TTACGCTAGATACTAATTACGGAGTAGTTAATTCGAAAATGGGGCAAACAAATTGTGATCGTGAGTGAAAATGGCGTCAGCGTGGCTACGCATTATTGTAATGAAAAGGAATGAAATTTTGACCAGAAAGCTAAGATGTAAATAAACGCCGACTTCACCTCTGACTATTTAAAAATTGCGTTTCCCGAGTATTAAACATACCAAATTTCCAGAGAAAGAACACCCCTGACCCCCTTTCTAACGGCCGGCATCCAACTACTGTTTGAAATCCTGGATTCGCCCCAGTCTATCATCGCGTCAACGCATAGACCGAAGACTTAAAGGAGAACTGAAGCCTAAAATTGGTATATTGTTTGCATTCATTTCTAGTTAGCTTTAGAGGAGTAAGAAAGTGTCGATATTCATTTTCGTTCACTTCCTGTTTTTTACGAGAAAATTCGATTTGAAGTTGCCTTTTTCCCGCCTTTGGGGTTGTAAGACCGTCGGCTCAAAATAGGTCAGCAGCGGTCGTTTATGACGTCAGTGGTGGAAACCAACTTAAGAAAAACAACTGTTACTATTTCATTTTCGTAGTTAATCCCCATTTCAAGTCACGCAACTTCGATAACTCCATAACCAAACCAAATTTCTGTAGGAAGAGTACGGGTTTATTATCTTTCTTCCCAACCAGTGACGTAAGAGCGAGCTAAAGTGACCGCTGACATCGCTTTTCTGAGCCGCCGTACTACGAGGCCAAAATACCACTTTAAACTATTTTTGCGAGGCGAAGTTGGGTTCAAAGACTGAAAAAAACCCTCGAACATTGCTATTTGAACTATAAGCTGCAATTTAAAAATGGTTCCTTTTTAGGCTTCAGTTCCTCTTTAATATAATGCTTATGCACTTAAACGTTTTCATGTGGACATAGCCATAGAGGGGTGAGAATTAAGAGTGAGTCTTCTAGCCTGCGTTGCTGGCAGTTTTGTGTGCGCTTTACAATTTTGTGTGCGTAAGGCGATGAACGATGAACGGCAACACTGCTTGTGAAAAACTGAAACTGTACGGTCCGTCTTACATTTCCCGCGGCTTTGCCGCTCACCGCAGCAACGTGCACAAAAAAGAGTCTTCTATTCTCGTTATGGCTAGTGTTCAGACATAGATCACTTTCACTGGACGGTTATGATAAATTTCTCAGCGAATTGTTCTGCTTTTTTAAGCTTGCCAACTTGACTGAACACCTCTCCAAGGTTGAAAAAGACATTGAAGAAGTGATAAGAGATCCAGACTTTCAAGGCCTCGGTATAATTGATTGGGAGTTCTGGAGACCAATCTTTAACAGGAATTGGGATAAACTCTCTATTTACAGGTTTGAGAGTATAATCATTGTTTGCTAACGCAGGGAATGATATATGGCAAAATGGCTTACAACAAGTTTTCCTCAGTATACCTCAGACTACGGATGAATACCATTCGATTTAAACTGAGCATGCGTTTTATGTTTGTTTGTTTTTTCGTTGCTTTCACTGTTGGTAATTGTACTTATAATCCATCAAATATTTTTGATCGCGCGTGATTGTTCTAGACGCACACGTAATCGAATATGCCCGAGCAAAACCTGGGAAATATCCAAGGATGTACCTCAAGTGATGTTCTCAACCTTACGTTCATCACTACGATGAATGGATTCGTTTGAAGTTTGATTCAAGATGACGTAACATTTAGCTATTGTTACACGAGAAGAGAAATGTTTGCTTGTTCATAAAGTCGTACTAGAGAACGCTGAAAAGTAAACTTCCCACGCGAAAATCTCTAAGCTTATCATAAAAATCTTTTACCCACGCTTTGCAAGAATTGTTTGAAGGGTGATATACACAGTCGCCTCCGTTTGGCACGAGAATGTGTTCTTACGTATATTTGTCCTTGGACATTTTGTTTCTCGAAGCTCACAGTCTTAATCGAGCTTCAAAGTTCCTCTAACTTTGGCTTTGTTTGCAGAAATAAGTCAATGGAGCTGGTCAAAGAAAGGCATCCTTCGTGGTCAGAGAATCTAATTGAAGAAATAGCCCGGGTAGAATTTGAAACTGCAGCTCAGCAGTTTATAGAAGGCACCTTGCTGCTTGCTCAAAAACTTCGTCCGAAGTCTACCTGGGGTTTGTACGGCTTCCCAAACTGTTACAACAACAAGGATGGCGAACCGTACACCTGTAGTAAACAGAATATGCAGATGAACGATCAACTCTGCTGGATGTTTGAGTCCAGTTCAGCATTGTTCCCTTCAATTTACCTTCACGAAGATCTGTCCCGAAATAGCACGCTCTATGTGAAGTATAGATTGTTGGAAGCCTTCAGACTTTCCAAGAAACTAGATGGTCAGTTCATTCCCGTCTATCCTTACGTTCGTATAACCTATCCACATTCGAAGATGTATCTTAACGAGGTGAGTTCTATCCGTTATTTTTTTTTTCTTAGAGAAGATCTTGTGCACTTAGCAGTGTAAAATGTTATGTTGAGAACCTCGCAAATAAACGTGACTTCAATGTCTTTGTCAGTGAAACCTTAGGTTGAGGCATATATTTATCTCTTCTAAGGGCAAATTTTGGAGGGAGAATGGGGAAGAAGTGGGGGTTGTTGGCCTTCCCTATATTTACCACTTTTGGAGTGAATGCAAATTGATTTTTGTGGAAAGGTGAGGTCGTGTCCTAACCTTAATATACCAGCCCATTCTTTCTAAATTCACTCAGTGGAAAGAGCATGAAAGTACTTTCTGGACAGTTGCAAAATGCCCACGTACAACGTAAGCTTATAAGGAAATTGTTTTCCATTTTGCCGCACCCGAAGATCCATCAGGTTTATTTTGTAGTATCATCAGGTTTGTTTTGTAGTATGTTATGCATTTTCTGCCCTCATTTGAGGTGACGAGCGAGGTAGAGTGAATTAGCTTGTACTTCGTTTGAACCTGGCGGCTGTACTTTCTCGGGTTAACGAGACAAAATAGGTGGACTGTACCAAGATGAATAACGTGTAACCTTTCATGTTTCATTCGTGTAATCTTTCATGTTTCATTCGAAAATCGAGATGATGTTTTCATATTGTAAGGTTTAATTTCCAGTCGTCCATTTCATGTGATACACTAAATTGTTGGGACATAAACAGTCATAAACTCGGAAACCGAGCCAGACCGTTTGATTTGTGGGCTTAAATGAGGAAACTTTAAGTTTTTCAAAGCGTCTTACGTCCGCCTGTCATTCTCCTTTGTGCAACAGGCTGATGTTGTGGCAACAGTTAGCCAGTCAGCCGAGCAAGGAGTTGCCGGCGTTGTCATGTGGGGAGACCACCTAACAGAGATGACAAAGACCGACTGTCTAGAGATACAGACCTACATTGATAATTTTTTGGGACCAGTGGTTAAAAATCTCACCATAATCACACAAACCTGCAGCCAAGAGTTCTGTAACTCCCATGGAAGGTGTACCTTCCAGCTGACACCCACTGCAGATATTCATTCCACGTATCATGGATTTGCACTGGATTTGACGGATCAGTGGAAATTTCAGAGCTGTAAATGTTACAATGGATGGAGTGGAGCAAACTGTGACCATCAAAATTAGAGCCTACATGTAAAACACAAACTCGCTACTGAATATTTTTCTTACTGTACGAATTTTAGTGTCTTTAAACAGTATTCACGCAATCGAATGCGCACATTTTTAAGATCAGTTTTGTTGCGAACGCCTTCATTCTCAAATCCTACATACATGTAACGGACCATCAGGAAAGTCAGAATCGGAAGTAGGGAGAAGAGCCGAAGAAATTAAATTAAATTAGGGGATTNTTTTCATTATACGGTGGGTCCAGCTTGAGCCCCTCTTGATAAAAATTTCCCAACGGGCTTGCTGATGTTCTCTTTTTCATCAAAATTTTTCATAGATGAGATAGTCGCATTTGAGTCTTGACTAAAACACCGCCTTCATATTGGTAATGGACTGAGCAACTTTCTGAGACTGGAGCGGAATTTCTTAAACAGCAAGAAGTAAATAAGCGGGTTGTAACCCGCTGCTGTTTTAGGGAAGAGGGCTGGTAAGGTGGCCACCAAGGGAGATATAACAGGCCCCGGTGCTCAGATGGTGGCGTGAAGTGATACAATGGCATATGGTGTACATGCAAACAAGAAACAAAATGACACAATGCATGCCATTCTTGCGGTTTTTGATTCTGTTAAAATGGCTTCTAAAGTCGGAGGAGCGTCATCTCCCCACATGTCACGCGCAATTCGAGTCATCCTTTTCACGTTGCAGTAGATAGAGTCGTATGCGATAACCATTATTACAAAAGGAGCCAAGAAGAAAAGAACGAAGATGCACCAAATGTAAGCAATGGCACGTGGACAAGAATTTTGCCAATCAATCCAGCAAACCGAGAGTCCTCCCTCAGGGGCATACCCTGACCAACCAATCAGAGGCAAGGTACTCCAAATTAGGGCAAACAACCAAAGTCCAACGATGATGTATTTTAACTTGTTGACGAACTTTATCACGATGGCGCGCTTAATGGCGAAAGTAGCGTGGTGTAGCATGGTGCCGAAGGATAAAATGTCATCATGAAGCCGTAAGATACACAGGACGTTCCCGTCGTTTGCCAAATTTTTTATTAAAATGCTAACAACTCCCAAAGGACACGTTACCACTGCTTGCATCCAGTCACCGAAAGCTATGCTAAGGATAAGAATGTTTGAGTGCGAACGAAGGGCGCTGTCCTTCGTGAATGTAATGAGCACAAGAGCATTAAGAGTGAATGCCTTGACAGCAAGGAGAGCATACACGCTGGCAATTGCGTAATAGACCTGTTGGCTAAGTTCTTCTCCTTCTTGTGCATCCTCATTCCCATTTTTGACAGAAGGTATCCCTTTTTCTGTTGGGAGGCTCATCGTGTGTTAACTGGAAACACCGAGAAAGAGACCTGGAAATTCATGATCTAATTGCTCTCAATGTGCGTCCAGGGAAATGCATTAATCAAAATTTTACATAATTTACTGATCAAAGACCCTCCTTCGAAATGGCGAAAAAATTATTGAATTCATCTGTATAAACGAAAGGTGATAACGTGTCAAGAAAGCTGCAAAAAAGAGTTAACTATAAAAATACTCTAGTGACAATAAAGGAAAGATATCAATGGATGGCCGTGAATTTTTGAAATATATACAGTTTAACCTGCGACAATTTCTCGTGTTTGGATTTGACCTGACTGCCCTTTTCCCGGGCACAGCCGCCTATTTTACCATCGGTGGCGGCTCATGGAAAAAAGTTATTAAAACTCCTGCTTCTTTGTGATGTGGCATGATTGCTTTTCCTCAATTTGTCGTGAATATGAATACCGGAGAAATTACACTCTCTTAAAACAGCAAGCACCCACCACAGGCAGCTGTCATAACCAATTGTCTTTCATCACTTCATGCCAGTAGGGAAGAAAAAAATAAGCAATGACGTGATCAAGTGAAGGGACGAGCTTAAGGTAATAAAGTTCTATGCTGGCCTTAGTTTTATGGATGGTTCGCGAAAACTGATTGGTCAGTCCTGTTGCATTATGATTGGTTCTAAGTCTCACGTAAGATTTGCCGGTAGCGGTTCATCAAATTGAATACGTCAGTTGTTCTGTTCGGTTCTTTAGCCGTGTTTTAACATAACCAATAATTTATGAAAAGTTGTTTCAAGTATTCACGTGGATTTGGATGATCATCAGTTTTGATACGAACGCTTTCGCTATCAAATCCTACGTAACCATGGGAACGGAACATCAGAAAAGTAAGGAGGCCGGAGGGGAGAGCCGGAGGTATTCTGGAGCTATATGATTTCTCAGACGAAATCACCCGCAAAGTAGTATAGAACTTCTATTAGTGGAACTGATTGATTGAGATTTCTTAACATGCTCATTTCACACTAATGTAAACAGCTGTCTATTTTTAGTCCATTGAGTGACCAAACCAGAATTTCTCCATACAATATCGATGTACATCATCAAGCAGACAAGGGATGAGAATAAAGTTGATTGATTGATTGATTGAAATGGGACGAAAGAGTTTGTTTGTTTTTTCTTTTTAGTTGTGTGTTCAGTATTTACATTTTGGCTTTTCAAAAACTTATTTTGTGTTTCAAACATTTTGTAGAATTTCGCTGGCTTTCGCGTTGACAGGCGCGTAGCGTGGTCATTTTTTCAAGTACACACAAGTTCATATGATCTAGAAACCTAAGTAAATCGAGCGAAATATACTGCGTTCTTTACTTCTTGTTCGAAATAGTTGTGTGAATATAAGCAAAGAACAAAGCGTCTTCCCCTATTTTGAGCAAACTTGGCGCTAACACAACATTGTTTCCAAAATTTTCTGGTCACTTCAAGTACGCACGTGCGTATGTGCGTATAGGACGCTACGCGCCTGAATGATGCACGGTCATTTTGGTTTTTAACAAACGGCTTTATAATGTAAAGTGGCCACCGTAAAGAGTTTCAAAGCTGACGTTTCGAGCGTTAGCCCCTCTCAAGAAAAAAAGTTTGTCTTTCAAATCGGTACTCTTAAACCCCACAGTACCAACGACTGCTTTTCATTCAACTCATTTATTCTTGTTTTTCTCGATACACCACTAGCGTAGCTCCATTTTTTGTAAATAAACACACACAACCCACAGTTTCTCCATTCGCTCTGACGAAGGGGTAACGCTCGATAAAACCAAAATTACCTTAATATACTCCCCTACCGACTCAGCACTACAGTTTCCTAGAAACTTACCCCCTTTATTCAAAAATACACGGCTTATGATTGTTTCTAAGGAAATTGTGTCTGTATGGGAAATTATGGGCTAAGTAAAACCTTTTCAGAACGCTCGGTTATATTTCACGACCACCTTGCCATATAATAAATTTTCCTGCATCTTTTCGGTACGCAGAAAACGTGAACTACAACGTCGCTATGCGAACTGCACTTTTACCTTTCATGAAGTGCTGTTTTGATTTTACCACAAAGCTTTACAAAAATCACTAAGGTCGACTTCACCCATTTTCTGTTTTTCTTTTTTTTTCTCAAGCAATTGCAAGCTCTTGTTATTATTCATTATTTGTATGTGTCTCGAGCTGAAATGTTCAAGAAAGAAGAGGTAAAAAATGACAAAAAAGAAGAATGCAAAGGAAAATGTGGGTGGCCCGTAATATACTAAATATTTGCCGCACAATAATTTTACCATTTCATACAAAAAAAGAAAATTTTTTTTTACTAATTTCAAGGACTACTGATCTGCAAGCAGCACACCACATGGAACTCTGAAAACTCTAATTGGGTAGTATTTCTGGCCGCACCTTTGAGACTGCAGCGTTCGCTATGAAGGTGAAAACTGTGGTCAAGAAATGGAGAAAACAATGTCGTCGCGTTTCCTTTTTTACTTTTTACTCTTCTCAGACTGATATAAAATGAGGGACATCTGACCCGTTAAAGGACAAACTAGCCAGACAAGGGTTTGTTATGATAACAAATTAGGCTATTGTTATCCCCCAAAACTTGCATGGAACTCACAAATTAACAACAACGATATTTTGCTTTGGAGACTTATTTGACCATAGGTTTTATCATAACGTTGAAGATTGTGTATATTTTTCAGCCGCAAAGGATGTTCACGTTCAGAAAGTAAACTGAAATTTGCTTCAATGATGTCACTTTGACACGGGTTATTTTTAGCATTCCACAACTATATACTTTTTACTGTTGAAACAAAGGATCGGAGGGCCGGTTCAAAATCGACAGACATGAATGGGGAATATTGAGAGTAAAATCTCAGATGATAGGCAATCCAGGACATTGGCGATAAAAGAATTTTCTATTTGCAAGTTATGAGCAAATGTGGCCAAAAATAATTAATTAATTACAGCCTCCTTTTCAACGAAATGGAAGTAGAGAAACCCCGAGATACGCTTTGTAAACAATCATTTTCAGGAGGTGTTGACTGTCCTGCCAAGTGATATCGCTATTGTGGGAGCGATGCAACAATTTCAGGACTGCAATCCCCTTTTGTGATACAGCAATACGAACGGTAAAATGATATTTTGTTAAATCAGCTCTAGATTGGATGTAAAATGCGAAAAAAATTGAGTTTGCGAGTGGTGTGTACATTCTCGATCAACTTACAGCACCGTCAAATCAGCTTAATTTATCAAACTTTAAAATTTGATTAAATCGCACTCAATCATTTTCCCAAAAAATCCTAAAGAGATCTAGAAGAAATAGACCTTGCCTTCCAAAAGCCAGATTTGTAGTTGATTCTTTTATTAAGTACATAGTTAAATAACGGGTTACTTTTGACCTATTTCCAATATTGTTAGAAGAAGGTCGGACAATTAAATTGTGTAAATAAGCGATCAAGAATTGCTAAAGTTGTTGTCAACATATGTATAAATGTTGTTTATCAAGATTTGGTGCTTTTTATCGGTCCAAGTGTTTTTAGTTCGTGGCCCGACGCTCCGAGATTCGTCCGAAATTTTGAGCTTCAAAAGCAAAATTGGCAAAATTCAGTATTGTATATAACTATGCATTGCGTGCCTAGCGTGTGGCTCACAGGTCGGAAAGACATGTGTTCGCCCGCCATGAAGAATAGAGTTGTGTTCTGCTAAATGCTTTGGTTTATCGCCTTGTGTTACAACAATTTGGCGACGAGGATGGCTGAGATCACATCCATACCACCGTTCGATCCCCTCGAACAGACTGGCAGTGTGGGTCCCCGCGGTTACATTATTACATCGATGCTCGTGGAGTTACTGTTGACGATCACAAACGAGCTTTGCTACTTCACCTTGCCGGGCCGGCTGTTCAAGACATCTTTGCTACCTTATAAGACACTGGGAACACTTACACGGAGGCGCTTGCTGCGCTGAGCACGCACTTCTCTCCTCAGAAGAGCTTACAGCTCGAAAGACATACCTTTCGTCAGGCTCATCAAGTGCCAAACGAATCGAAAAGGTAACCCAAATGGCAAACAGGCAGAGATACCCGAGGCCCGGTATGTTTGTAATTTTTCAGATGAGGATGAATGTCATGAGGCATTTCGTCTCAACCCTAACCAAGCAAAAGCAGACATCACTGTTACCACTGAAAGTACCCCAGTTCAAGTCTGTATTTATTATGGTGCAACAGCGAACACCATTGACTATGTAAGATATGAGGCGACCAGTGCCGCAAGAACAGTGCCCTTAAAACCAACCAATGTGAGACTTCGCCCTTATGGAGAAGACAACCCTGCCCCAATCTCCCACGCCGGATCGTTTTTCGGAATGATCAATACTCCGTCAGGGCAGATGGACCTGACAAGGTTCCTGGTACTCAAAACATGAAATGCTGGTTGTCTCCTGAGTCGTGAAACCTCAACCCGACTAGGACTGTTGCATGTCGCAGGCTTTACAACTACTGAACATTCACCTACTTAAGGTGAATACCAGTACCTTTTACAAAAGTTCCCAGCAGTTTTCAGTGGCAAAATCGAGAAACTAAAAGCTTACCAACCCGAGGTCAACATGGACTCATCTGTACAACCGGTGGTACAAATTCGCGTCTTACACCCTTACATTACCTTGCCAAGGTGGAAGCCAAGTTGAAACAGCTTGAAGATCAAGATATCATTTAACAGGTTACGGGCCCGACGCCATGGGTGTCACCACTTGTTATTATCGACAAGCCGAATGTGACATACGTCTGTGTGTAAACATGTGCAAGCCCAACGAAGCTCTCCGATGTACACATTACCCATACCTTACATCCCAAGAAATTTTCCAAGGCCTAAACGGCTCCAAGATCTCTTCTAAAATTGATCTTAAGGAATGCTATCACCAAATTGAACTTGGTGAATCGTCTCGTCACCTGACAACATTCAAAACACACGATGACCTCCGCCGTTA